GTTTTGATATCTATATTTTGCAGTTCACTTTATAGACAGTCCAGTTTTAAATGCACCCTCTATTTAGAGTTTGACACATTTCTTTCACGTGTGGTTTTTGTGCTAGCGGTGCTGAAAAGATGTCTAAGCTATTACCACTGGATGCATGAAGGGAACGCTAGGTGGGTTTCTAAGCCTGTGACACAGCAGTCAAGACCTATCGATAGAATATCCAGATCGGTTTTCTGTGCTTATTTGGCTAGTCAATAGTAGGATAACTTACTATGAAGTAAATCCTAAGTAACAATGTCTCTATAAACATTTCCGCTTATATACACAAAGACATAAGGATTCTTTGAAGTCCAACTCATTTCTGTAATTTTACACGCCTTTGAGTTATTAACTCTGCCAGGCTTCCTCACTAGCCCATTAAAAGGCAAAATTCCTGAGGATCTGTACGTTGAAATCCTTTTATGACTATTTGCTTTCCCTTCCCCCTTCCCCTCCTTCCTCCCTCTCCCCTGGTCACCTTTGTAAACTATATCTGCTGACAAACAGCAAGTCTGACTGAATTCTGGAATTCTGTAGCTTCGTTCAACACACTAATCATCTCCCGTTTATTAACTCTTCGATTAAATCTAGGTAAAATATGAACATATCTGTTTTCTGCCTCATTGTTCATCATAGTGCATAGAAAACTAGAAGTTGATCGTGAACTTCATTCTTGGTCCATTATTCCTTTCAATACATCTACAGGAACACACTGGCTTATTTTCCCACATAAGGCAGCTGAAACAAGACAGCTCAGAGAGAGGAAGATTAGAGAGTGGGCTGAAAGAGATCCTCTTTCATGTCTGGAACGGGGGTGAGTTAGCAGGGAGGCTCTCCTGCAGACTAGGTCAGTGTGTTTTCATAACTGCATGGTAGCATTCTGGACCACACCCAAGAGAAGACCAAAAGACACCATTCAATCAGACATGTTGTTCAGAGTAATTCTGGCTATTTATCTTTGGTAAATTTCCCCCAGACACTATTTCATAGAAGGTAAGCTTTTCAAATGATGACTTTTTTGTTTTTGCTGCTTTTCTGACAACAACTCTACTACATAAGGGTGAAGCAAAACAGAATCTCAGGTCCACTTGGGTCTTACATGTAATTATCTGTCCCTGAAGCCTATGGGTCCTAGAATTTTAATCTATTAATGCCAAACCCCTTTTGTGTCCTGGCTTACAAAGTGGCAGCGAGTTAATACTTGTCTTCGCTATTCACTGCTTTCTCCTGTGTTTCAAATGAGCAGTACACAAAACTTTAGAAAGAGACTGACAATTCACACACCAGTAAATAAGATATTCATTACAGGATGTAAACTAGCAGAGCAATATAAAAGTTTAAAATATGTTTCAGGAAGGACTTTTTTATTAGCATTAGCTCATGAGATTAAATAAAAACATATCAATCCTTTACTGCCCATCTTTTACTTAAAGGGATGCCTAAGCCGTGTGCCAGGATGTTTGCATGTTAGTTTTGATTTTAATAGCTTTTAAGAATGTGAGGTGAGTTTAATTCTTGATACTGTAGTGAGACATATTCCACCGGTCTCCTGTGGTTTTGCTGGTGTTATGAGTACAGACATCCATTATTGTTTGTGGGGACACCAGACCTTGAGCAGAAACCCACTTCCCCTTCGGCCTGGGAGCAGGCATCTGTTAATGTTTACTGAAAACAATTCAGTGCTTTAAAGCTCACTGAAATACCATGCCTTTCACACCTCCTACGGCTAGATGCCTCTTCCTGTTTCCCTGTGGTGTCTCCCCGATTCTGGGGCCAGAGATTAAACCACCAGCCAGGAGAAAAGAATGGTATGTAAATGAATGGCAGAAGTCCTTAAAAAGGGAAGCTCCTTTTTCTTAGAGGGTCTTCTCCTGAGAGCTGTCTCCTAAGCGGACTGGGGTCTCCTCCTAAGCTGACTTGGGAAGCATAAAGTTTTCTTAAAGCAACCGACCGGTCTCTGTGTCATCTATCCCGACCACCTCGCTACATTCTCGGATGCACAGCAGGTGCGACAATTGTTAGTAGGACAAGACTGTGCTTTTGAAGACATTTGCACAGGAATACAGAAGCTGAGCAGCCCTTCTCCTCCTACCCCTGCTTAATCAGGCTTTCTGTCACTTCAATCACACACCTGACCAAAAAAATGTAAAGGAAGGAAACATTTCTTTTGGCCCATGGTTCAGACTATTATTAGTGAGCTTAACTGTAAGAATAGGATGGTGACACAAGATTTTAGAGGAGTAAGCTGCTCCCATCATGACCGACAAGGGAGCGAGGTCAACGTATGGTCCCAAAGATACATCTCTAGTGGCCTGCTTCCTCCAGCCAAGCTGTGTCTTCTAACACTTCTACCAACTTTAAAAATACTGCCACCCTTTAGCATGGAAGCGTTGGGAAGGCACATTTCAATTGCGAATCAAGGCATGCCAGGAGAGATGACACACTCTTTTGCCTTTGAATATAATAATTATTCTCTCTAGCTATGGGTGAAAAGGAGATTGTTGCTTTCACAACCCATCACAAGCTATACCAGCTGCTGAGCTTTGGCTTCTCAAGTCTACTATAAAGTCACTCACTGGGAATGACAGACTCTAGATATCCCCTATGTGGAAGGATTTGGCAATAGGGTGGGAGGGTGGGGGGGAGGGGAGTGCGGGAGGAGGTGAGGGAGAGGGAACTCGGATTGACATGTAAAACAAGCTATTTAAAATTAAAATAAAAAATGATAAAAAAGTCACTCACTGGGAAAGGGGATTTCATGTAAATGTGTGTCTGTTAATTTATGACCAATTAAGTGTTTTGTTTCCTATCCAAAAGTCTCATAGCTTCTGCTGGTTGTCATAATACTTTGGTGAGTTGATTTCATAGTATACAAGCTAAGGAAGACGTATTTGGTCCTTCTGAGTTAAGGAATTGTATTGGTTGGATTAATTACGTAACTGTCTATTCTCAGTGCAAAGAAGAAATTGAGTCTTGGCTTATGTGCTCAGGAACACTAACATTTTGCAGAGTATCATAAGCACCGTGCCTTCAGCCTGGTTGGTAGTGAGGAATGACTGAGAATGTGCCCCAGTTTGTATGTAGATTGTCTCCCAAAGGCTCATGTATTTAAGGTTCAGCCCTCCACATGTGACTGCTGAGAATGAGTGGACACTCAGATACGGAACAGAGAGGAGATCAACCAGCTTTGGAGGCAAGTTCTTTAAGGGAACTATGAGATCTCCACCAACACCAACACCAACACCTGCCTCCTCTTTCTTTTTGGCATGCGATGAATGAGTTTCGTCTGCCATAAAGTCTCACCATGATACACCATTAGAGACTTGTAATCAATACACTAATACACAGTACTGAAATCCACAAAACTGTGACTCAAAACAAACCTTTCCATTTTTATGTAGATTATTGCTGGCATTTTGTTAAAGTAATGGAAAGTTCATGTCTACAACTTGGTTGGAGAGATAGATGTGTTTAAACATGAGCAGAGTATGTAAAGATACATGATTGTTTAGACTGAAAAGAAGAGGTTGGGTAGAGTTTTACTTTCCAGGACTGGGAAGACTGGAAGATGGGATATAGAAGAGAATCTGACTGACTTCAGTGGTAAAGAGGTATGCTAGTGTGCTAATAATGAAGAAAGCACTCTCATAGTTCAGAGATCTCAGTGCTTTGTCACTGAGGGCCTGTGGTGATAGAGACAGCCATGAGGAGGAGATTCATGGTGGAGCACATCTCCTCACCAAATAGTGGCCGAGAAGAGACGAAGAAGGAACTGGGAAACACATCATTTCCAGGCACGCCCCTGTAAGATACTTCCTCTAATGATGTCCCACCTGCTGCGGTTTTGCCAGCTCCTAATTGTTCATGGAAATGTGAATCCAGCAAGGAGTTGATCAGAGCCCCTACAATCCAATTGTTCCTCCAAGTCCCATCAGCTGGCAAACAAGCTTCTAGCACACAAGCCTCTGAAGAGATGCCTCCTGCACAAATAGCAAGAAGACTTAGTTTCAGGAAAACACCCTGGAAGTACAGGAGTAAGAAAGTTACTGATACTAGCAGTGACACAGAGGATGGAGATAAGATCCTTCCTTCTACCTGGCATGTCCCTCTTCGTGGCTTCATGGGAATTCTGTTTGGTGCATCTCACACGGTTTTCTCTCCAAACAGCAGCTTAGAGACCATGGTGCTTAACAGTAGATGCAACAGGTGGCGGCCCCAGTGTCATCACTAGAGAAGGCTTTGGCGACTCTGTGGAGCTTGCTTACCTGTGTGCACTTGGAATGGTCATGGAGAAGTAGGATTGTTTGACAGGAGGCTCTCAGGGAACTAAGCTCCATTTTGATCAGGTTGATAAAACACTGAAGCAATCTCAGCCATTCTCGTGATATGGCTCCAGTTGTACCCATGGCCAGTGAGGTATGAGGAAACTTATACTACACAGTAAATAGAGTGAAAGGTGATGGATATTATAGCAGAGCTGGGCGTCATGGAGACCGTGTGGAAAATGTTTGAGTTAGATCTTAAGGAAGGAGTAGGCTTTTCGATAAGCAGCTAATAAAACAAACACTTCTTTATAGAAAAAAAATATGATTGCAAGAGAATATGCTCTGTATTCCATTTCCAAGCTGACTCTTAAATTGTTTTAATTGTTAATGCCAAATAATCAGCATTCCATAGTCAGATTACAAATAAACTACTAATAGCTAAGGGAACTGTGCTTAAGGGAAGTATTCTATGTGAGTGTGTCCCCGAAGCCTTTCACCTCAAAAAGTTATGTACAATGTGTCTCTCTCTCTCTCTCTCTCTCTCTCTCTCTCTCTCTCTGTGTGTGTGTGTGTGTGTGTGTGTGTGTGTGTGTGTGTGTGTGTGTGTGTCTCTCCCTGGTGGTTTATTTCCATCAGACAGAAATAAACTAGAGTAGAATAGAGGAGAAATAAACAAGCTAGAGAGTCACCTGGGGAGAGGGACCTTCAGTTGAGAAAGTGCCTCCATCAGATCACCTGTAGGCAAGTCCTTGAGGTGTTCTCATGACTGAGGATTGATGTGGGAGTGTCCAGCCCACTGAGCATGGAGCCACCTCTGGCCACGTGATCCTGATGTTTCGTAAGAAAGCAGTCTGAGTAAGTCATGGGGAGCAAACCGGTATGCAGCATGCCTCTATGGCTTCTTCTTCATTTCCTGTCTACAGGTCCTGCCCTGGTTTCTGTTCTGACTTCCTTTGATTTTGTAGTATGATATGAAAATATAAAATTAAATGAACCCTTTCCTCACTTAATTCTTATTGATCATGGTGTCCATCACAACTGTAGAAACCCAACCTTTATGTGCCTGTATATGCATTCTTTCAGTCTTTTAGTGTGTTTTATGTGTTAAATATAATATTCCACAAATTGATATATCAATTTCATATTTTCAGTGAATGTTTTACCCATTGATTTTCTATCTGTTTGGTCTTCTATAAACTGGTCTGGAGATTTTCATATTTAATAAAATTGTTATAAACATCTTAAAATATTAGCAATTTTGCTTTAGATTTTATTATTGAGACATTACACAAAGAGTGAGAGACCTTGTAACACTCAGCCCTAAATGGGATGTTTCCATCAAGCCCCTCCCCTTAGAGCTCAGAGAACCCTGCAGATAAGGAGGAAGAAAGAGTGAAGGAGCTAAAGGGAATGGAGGACACCAAGAAAGCAAGGCCCTGTGAATCAGCACGGCAAAGCTCCAGTGAACTCACAGAGACCAAAGCAGCATGCACAGGGCCTGCATGCTCTACACCAGGGCCTGCATGCTCTACACCAGGTCCCCATATACATTGTACAGCTTCCACTTCAGTGTTTTCATGGGATTCCTGAGTGTGTGGATGAGTTGGTCTCTGGTTCTTGTGGATTTTCCTGTCTTGTCCAACATTGATGTGGTGGCTTTTGTTTTTATCTTACTTATAGTTTATTTTGTTATATTTTAAGAAGGAATGAATGCCTAGCTGCTAAGATAAAGACCAACAAATTGAACTGTCATTTACACCTGCTGGCAGAGGGAAAATCTATTTTTCTCCAATGGAGTGACATTGGATATATCAACCACTCCAGGGAAGGCTTCATGCTTAGGATTAGTTGATCAATTACATAATTGACTTCATAGGTGTGTGTGTGTGTGTGTGTGTGTGTGTGTGTGTGTGTGTGTGTGTGTATGTGTGTACTTTTATTTGATAGTAGTTTGGTGAGATATTTTTTATTTCATTTTTGGGTGATATTTTGTTATCTTGGTTTGGGGGATTGTTATATTGGGTTCTGTTTCTTTCTTATTTTTTTCTTTCAGATTTTTTAAATTTAAATTAGAAACAATCTTGTTTTACATGTCAATCCCAGTTCCCTCTTCCTCCCTTCCTCCCATACCCCCCACCAATCCCCTATTCCATCCTCTTTCTGCTCCCCAGGGAGGGTGAGACCTTCCATGGGGGAATCTTCAAAGTCTTTCATATCATTTGAGTCAGGGCCTAGACCCTCCCCCGTGCATCTAGCCTGAGAGAGTATCTCTCTGTGTAGAATGGGCTCTCAAAGTCCATTCTTCTGTTAGGGATAAAAATTGATCCACTAACAGAGGCCCCATAGATTGCCCATGGCCTCCTCACTGACACCCATGTTCAGCGTGTCTGGTTCTGTTCTATGATGGTTCCCAGCTATCAGTCTGGGGTCCATGAGCTCCCCCTTGTACAGATCAGCTGTTTATGTGGGTTTCTCAAGGCTGATCTTGACCTATTTGTAATTTGAGAACACTTAAATGTGGGTGAGTAGGGATGGAGTCTGGAAGGACTTGGTGGAGGGGAACAACATGATCAAAATCTATTTAAATTAAAAATGGCTTTGAATAATAAAAAAAGAAAAAATTACTTTTGCTATGTTAAATCACTCTGCTTCATTGACGTGAAGAATTTTCTCATCTTAAACAGTAGAACTAAGGGCTGGAGAGGAGTCTCAGAGGTTAACAATGAATAACCCCCATCCAGAGTACCTGAGCTGGGTTACAAGCATACTCATTATGCATTTTACACTTTATAATTCCATCTACAAGCGGATCTGACTCAGCAGACCTCACAGGCATTCATTCGCATGTACTTGAACATGCTCACACATAGACGTACACACATAGGCGTATACACATAGGTAATTAAAACTAATAAGAATGAACCTTAAAAATAAATGCAATAGAGTGAATATAAAACTAACATCAAATTGCCCAATAACCATGACTATTTACTTGCAAGTGGGACCAGCTATCCTTGCTCAGTGTTCCACCTTTGTTTGACATTGATGCCTGTGTTTCTTTTGCAGTCAATATTTTATGGCCTCCAATGGCATCATAATTCAAGGGAAAATATGTTGGGAATCTAGGAGGTGATAGCAAATGCCATGCTATCTCCTCTTTGTACCACATGGCTTCCACACCTCTCCCATTGTTATTAAAGTCTGTTTATTACCTTTAAACTTGGATGGCTTGTGACTATAACGGGAAGAGCATTATGCCTTATATAGACCGACACTGGAAAAGGTTGTACATGTTACTGCTGTTTCTTTGTCATACTGTGAGGAAGTCCTAGCAGTGTATTGAAAAGGTCCAGTTTCCCAGTGAGAACTAGCATCAATACACTAGTCATGTGAACAGAGGAACTGTCAGATTTCATACTATTCTTCTCATTGTTCTCACTGACATATTATACTTTGAAGAGTAGGAAAAAAAATCAATGTGTAGTGCTTTGGTAGTTTTGTTCCAGTACATCGATTAGTTGTGTGCCTCTGTTTCATAAGCTGAACTTCCTTTTTCTCTACCATACATGGGTAGAATTAACAATTAGATCTTCTTTGTCACCCAGATGTGACCACTGGAATCCACAACAATGACCGGTCTGGAAAGGTGTGCCCACTGATACAATAGAGGAATGAACATTATGAGAGTAAGTCATCAACCACTTTTTGACTGTAGATAAGAACCTCTTCTTGAGATGGAGGCCATTCCTGGAACTGTTAACAGAACCAAGATCTATAATGAAATGATAAGTCATGCTCCTCCCTACGGGAGAGCCTAATATTATTATTATTTTGATGAATGGACATGATATTAGAACTTTCCTAACGATTTCTTGTTCTGCCCATAGTAGGGATACACGCGTTACAAAGGCAGAGGACAGTTCTCAGAAGAGGAGTCAGTAAGGTTGTAACCAGAGATGTTGGGTGACTTCAAGGAAACAGTGCTTTTCAGATACAGTGGGGCAGCTGCACATGTGAACTCACGGTGATTGTGACAGCACCAGCACATGCAAGACCCACACAAGCTTAAACCTGACAACAGCTTGGCATGTTGGGGAGTTGGACACCAAATCCTACTCCTAGCTGAAAAGTTTTTGGAATCTGGTAGCGTATGGGAGAAGGGGCGCGAGTTTTCTTCCATGGTGTGACTCCTGTTGGGCAGACCACACTCCAGAGCAGGCCCTATACACGAGATTTGTTCAACACAAAAACTGGATTTGATGGGTTATTTTGTTATTGTATGTTTGCTTTTAAGAAGACTCAAAGTTGGGCAGATAGGAAGGTGAGGGTGGAGAGATCTGAAAGAAGTTGGGGCATGGGGTAAACATGATCATAATATACTTCATGAGATTCTCAAAAATTAGTAAAAACAATTTCATATCTGTATACATTTATAACATCCCATATTAATATTTGAAAAATTATATCAGGGTTTCAGTGGTCTTTGAAGACTGTTGACAGTCGGCATTTAATGTTGCTAAGTATAGAAACACTAGCTAAGTAATGATATTGTCATTAATACAGTTCCTTTTCAATGTCTGTAAATATAATCTGGGTAACTCAAACAGGAGCCTCCCAAGTGAGGAATTCTACTCTTGGCATTCCTTTGTTGGAAAAAGTAGACACTTATGGGTGTGCCCTTAAAAATACTAAAATATTCCATTTGTAGAAAATTTCATGTTGCTACTTAGAAAAATCCAAGTGAAGAGAATGAATGCATGTAGTTTTCATTGGTATTTAAGAAAATGAAATAAGGAAACTAACGTTTCTGGTGTGGTTCGGCCACACGTTGCTTTCTGCTTCCCCAGTCATCAATGCTGTGCTGTCTGAATGGCAGTATTTACAGCTCTCAGTTCCTCACACTGCTCATTTCTCATGGAAGACAAGGAATTCACTCTTAAGCTATCGGTCAGCAAACGATGATTCTATACAGAACAGCTCATTATGTGAGCTTGTCCAGGAAGTTGGATAGTACATCCAGACAAGAAGTTCTAAGCAATTTATTTGCTTTGAAGTGCAATACTCATCTTAGATAGTATGTATTGTGTGTGTGTGTGTGTGTGTGTGTTTGTGTAAAATGCACCCATGCACACAAAACTTGATGTGTCGTTATAAGGCCAAAATAACTGTAGAATATGCAAGTGCATTTTCCTCTAATTTTATCTCTTATAAACAACTTATGAGCCTCCCCCACTGGACTGTAAATTGCAGGGAGGCTCAGTGTCGGCTTTATCTTGCTGCTTTGTCTCACACCTCATATTCAGTAAGATCAAATACTTGTCAAACCAATGAAATGGCTTCTTCTAATTACTGTCTCCTTTCCATCTCTTAACGCAATTAGCAAAACCAGGCTTCTCCCATTCATTATTTATCCCTGACTTTAGGCAGCATCCTTCTCACTTTGTAGAAACACTTTACACCTAACCAAGTGAGCAATACTCCTTTGCTTGCCTAAGTCAACAGCATTTTATCAGCCCCCATGCTGTTGGATCTCTTTACAAAGCTAAGCACTTATCCACGCCTCATATTTGAAATTCCTTTTTCCCTTTTGGCTATTGTCAACCTATTACGCCCTTCTCCTTCTGTGTGAAAACATTTCTCTTTTATGTTTGTATTACTAACTCTTGCCTATAAGTCTATTTACTGATCACTTCACTTGCCTTTTCTGGACATTTTCTACCACTCCTTGGCCTCCAGCTGCCGTACCTAAGTTGACAATATCTAAATCAATGCTCACATGCTGGCATTATTTTCTCAATATTTTTCTCTGTGTAGGGATTATTCAATCCAAGTATAATTTGAGGCAAGTTTAATTTCAGAAACTAAGGGACCCTGGCTAGTTTAGGCAAAATAGAAGAAAGGGAGAAAAGATGCTTGCAGGAGAGGTTACTGGAAAATGCCAGCAATCCTTTGGGGGGAAGGGGAGGTCATGGTTAGACAAAGAAGTCAAAGTCCCAAGAGGAGGTGAGAAGATATCCCCTCTGTCTCTGACTGGATTCCCTCCTCTCTCCTTGTCCTTGTTTGTGCCTTCTCTCATACAGATGACTTCTTTCCCCCCTAGATCAGTGCTTTCCCAAGTTTGCAAATCCCAAGATTCAGCCATTCAGAAAAAACATCTGTGTTGCTTTCTCTGTTCCATTTAAATAATCTTAGGCCATGACTTCTAATGGGGTTTCCTAAAAAAAGAGGTTCTAGATGCAGAAAAGAATTGGTTAGAAAAACTGACGGCTCCTTGAAGACCATGCGCAGTGGGAAAAGAAATAGTAAAGGATAAACTTCACTTGACAAGGCTAACCGATTCCCGTTCCACTATCCTAGACAAGCGGCATGCAAAATCCAGTTGCCCAACTTAACCCTCATCTGTTGGCCCAGACCTGCCTCCCCTCCTGGAAGAGTGGGAGAAAAGCGCCCACATCTCTTCGGGAAGGGTGTGTCCCTGCCCCGTTAAAGGTGGGAATTGCTGAACCCACCCACCAATATGCTACTATTTTTTCGTCCGTTGGCTAAACACTGAACCGCCTAATGGTTCTGTCTTCCTCAGCCTATTGACACTGCCTTCCTCTCTTCAAGCTGCCCTCCCAGAACTTCCCTTCCAGATCATCATTTGTTTTTCCAATATCTACCTAGAAAAATTTTTACCACATCCTTTGTATCTTAGAAGCCTTCACCACATATGCGATAAAGCAGATGAGCGAGCTTTATGCAGCTGCCCTTGATCCCAAGATCACTGCCACCTCCCGAGGCAGCTTTTTTTCAGGAGTTTAAACCATGGTGGTCTGCACAGCATCCCGGGCTTCTGTCTGTGTCCATTTCCAGACTTGAAATGGCTTTGTCCCCCATGCTAATTTTACAAAGTCTTCTGCTGTCCTCTGGGTTTCACATTACCACCCAGGTCGCTCGTCATCCTCTCCACGAAGCCTCTTAGCACATTGTGGAGCAAGGCAAGCCATCTTACCTCTCAAATTGCACTCTCAGTGCCCCTCTCTGTGCTGGCTTCATGCATTAGCACAACCCTGATGCTTATTTTCCCTTCCTCCTTCAGAGCTCCACACAAGGCCTGGAATAGAGACAGTGTCCATGAATATTCATGAATGAAAAAAAGACATGAATATTTTTCCTGCTGACTAGAGACTTTTTAAAGCATTTTTAAATTACAGGGAATCTGATTTGGGCGAATTTCCTCGTAAGAAGAATTACTTGATTTACAAATGATTGTCAAGCTCTCGAGACCTCTGTAATATTTGCGCTTTTGCAATAGCGGGACTGCTACCAGTTTTCGTTGTTAGGCTGAGGGTGATACACAAGGATGCGGCATTATTACACGTTGGGCTAAAAATACTAGAGGCTCAAGAAAACATTTCAGGAGGAGAAAGGGATTAACTGTGGTAGTTAATGAGCGTCACAAATGAGCTGCACAATGCAGAGGCTACATAGCTTTAAATGGCATCCAAAAGGTCATCTAAGTGAACACTGCGCTTTTCTCATTTCTGAATACATATGGCACCATGTAGTGTACAGATTCTGTCCTCTAACTACTAAATTATTTTTGTTAATTTACAGCCCCAGTAATGATTTACGGTGCCAATAAAAACCAAGCCTAGACAAACATTCTCAAACACACAAAATACTCATACATACATGGCTGTAAGTATTGATCATTTTCTTGGCTGAACTTCCAGGAAGCCTTACAACTGAGCTAAAGAAGAAGATTGACATGCACCAAAGTGACAGTTTACTGAGGTATGGGGGTGGGTGTCGGGATTCCCGTGCAAGGGCCCCAAGTCAAATACCAAGTCAAGACACAGTGGTTTGCTCCGATCTCTAGATTTAGAACTCATTCATCAAGTATTTGAAATCCAACTTAATGGCAAAACCTTGCAGAGTGCAGCACAGTGTTGCCACACACCCCGTTATCACATGCGCTCAGAATAAAACAGCAATAAGCAATCAGAAATTTTGAGAAAAATGAAGGCTAGTTAACGATAAAGACTTTACTTTCCCCAACTCCCTCATTTCTTCACTGAGCACTGGCGTTGGCTGCACAGTAGGATCTGAGCATGGCTCAGGCTGCCTGTAAGACCCCTTGCTCTGAAGCTTTGCTCGCTCGCGGCAGTCTGAATGAATACCCTATGTGATTCTGATCGAAACACGGACCTTTGTTGAGAGGCCCCCTCCTATATTCGCATGATGACATTGTAGCCCACAAGGTGTTGTATTAAGAAGACTCTGAGTCTGTGATGGGGACCTGACCCGAGAATGGGATTGCTGGGACCTGACCCGAGGATGGGATTGCTGCTCTTGTGACATCTGCCCTTTTTCCAGGTGAGAACACGGGAAAAGGACATCATCTGTGAACCAAAGGCTGGCCTCGTCAGACATCTGGTCCAATGGCTTTAATCTTAGACTTCTCAGACTCCAAAACAGCGAGAAACAAAGGCCTGATATTAACTTCAAAATAGAGGAAAATGTCAACAAACTGTAAAGCAGATACTGTTTCTCACTGATTTAATTCACCTAGTAAAAAGCGCTTCAAACAGAGAATGAACTGTTTACATTTATTCCACAAAAAGTGAGATGGTTATATTTGGAAGTTTATCAGATTTTACTTTAAAATACTAATTTTAAGCAGTCAAATTATCTCCAAAATGTACTACATTAATTTTAATCAACTAGGTTAATTTTACTGTCAAATACTTAGAATTTCTTTTTCAAATTGCTCATAGTTGTGCTTTATTTCTTTCAGTTGTATTATTCTGAAAATGCAGTTTTAGTTCATACATAATAAATTATGACTAATAAGATCCAGATATATTCCCAAGTGATTCCATTCTTGACTATTCATGACACATTTTTGTTATTGTTGTTGTTTTAATTCATCCGGTAGGGTAAAGAGTTCTAGGGAACAAGGCAACTTTTCCATTCTTGACCGGTAGAAGATGGAAATGTATTTTCCAAGAATGACCACACTGTTGACCATTCCTAATACACATCAGGGATGTTTGTGTGTGTGTGTGTGCATGCACTCGTGCGTGTGTGTGCGTGCGTGCGTGTGTGTGTGTGTGTGTGTGTGTGTGTGTGTGTGTGTGTTCTTCAGCCAGGGCAGGCCAGCATGGCTGTGATGCGCACGATAACGATACCTGGAGACCCACTCTGGTGGTCTGATGTACATGACATCTATCTCACATCACATTAGACCTTTAACGTTTTAGAATAAGTTTATTTACAAGAAGGCACGGGTGGCAGCGTTTACATGAGTTTGGACACCGTTAGCTGTTCCCTTGTGTCCATTCCTGGCACTCTGGAAGCCCTACCGTTTCATCGCTGTGACATCACAAGCTTGGTTCCTATGAACTCACAGATTCGTGCATCAGCAGGCATTCATAATTCCTTCTGCACGTTGACATTTTAACAGCTGGAACTTTGACATCTCCAAAGAAAGCTCCCACGGGAGTAAACTTCTGGGAGAAAGACACTTTGTTACCCAACCAATACACATTGAGTCCTGCCCCAAGCTGTTCAACATCTGAGGACAGACGGGAAGTCAGAGTGGGTACTATTAGCACAACTGCAGGAGAAAGCTGAATTTCTGGATTCTCTTCTATTCTAATAAGACCTTTGTGCTTCCCTTGAAAAACCAACAAATTTAAGTATAAAATTGCTATCACGATTTTCAGATCTGACATGCCCCCCCCACACACACACACTTTTGACCTCCTTGCGGAATGATGGGTCTGTTGACAATGTTCCCCCCACCCCTCAGGGAAACTTTTTGCTAATATCAGCTCTGTGTAGGTACACACCATCCTCCATCTCATTCATAAAGACCTCTTAATAGTTGATTCTCACAGCAAAGCAGTGATTCTGTCTATACTTTGAAGATGAAGTCATCCACAACCCAGGGACTTGTCCCCCTTCCCAGAAACACCAAACTATTCTCAGCCAACCTGATACTGTTTGTCTTAAACCAAGGAGTGAGGGAGTGACTAGGTTGAGTTTAAAGTTGATAACCAAAGGATCCTTTATGGGTTTTGTTAAGTTCATATATTTAAACTAATTTTAAATCATTTGATAAGCTAATATTGGCATTATTTTTCACTACTAACACAATTATTAATCTGTTTCTGTCATACGCTGAGGACCAAACTAAGCTTTTAAGAGAATGAAACTTACTTCCTATATGTATTTCATAATAATTCTTATCTAGATAGGGAAAATCAGGGGTTTATCATGGAACTCACAGAAGAAGAGAGAATTAAACCTACTACTACTTAAAATAATAGATTTCCTAGTCCCGTAAAATAGCTGGTATGATAATTTGAATTTGGGATAATGAGACATAAAATGGCTACTGCCAAACCTTTAATATTCATGAAGAACTAGAATTTTAAAATTCAGAGTCTGGTTCTGAATGAACACCAGTTCCCACCGCTTGATTTTCTTACACTATCTGCTTCTGCTTTATTAATTACTTACCGTCCTTTTTGCCAGAAAAATACAGTGCTTTGTGTTAGAATAACAAACAGGAGGACTGGTTTCAACAACCGTTTATTACTGCTCAAAACATTATAATTAACCCTGCTCCATTTGTTCTCACACACATAAACATTGCTGAAGGGAGAACTAATGACTTCTCAAAGGAACAAATAATTCAAAAGTGTACCTAATAATTTATCGGTGTGCATGGCCTAACTACCAGAGCTGTTGCAGGCAGAGCTTGCTCAAAGCTTTTGGCTCCTGGGATGCAGAAAGAGCGTAACAAACAGATAGTTACCAGGAGCAGGCTCAGTTGCTAATTAATGAGTTCTAGGCAGGACAGGAGAAAGGGAGTCTTTGCTTCTATAAAATTTCTTTTAAACAATGGTCTCTCGGACCAAAGGCGTCCTTCTAGACACATAAATAAGCATTGTCTGTAGCTGCTCCTTCTTCCGTGGCTTTGACGCTTGTCCTTTTCCTGGTGAGACTTGCACAGAGTCCTATTGCACTGTCACAAATCAACACTCCTGATATGGTCCTCCTTGCAGACCAGGCTCACCAGCAGCTACACTCTGTGCTAGATGTTCCCCAGAAACCTGTGTTTGGTCAATGAGAACAAAAATAACTCCCAGAGGAAGGTGCTATCAGTAATTTAGTTAATAAGTTACTATACAATAATGACACAGCTATAACCATAATGATTGAACTTTCCACCAATTCTATCATTGCTAATTAAAATAACTTAGGGAGTTCTTTTTTCCTGTTTTTCTCTTTATTTGCTTCCGTGTGTGTGTGTGTGTGTGTGTGTGTGTGTGTGTGTGTGTGTGTGTGTGACACAGGCATAAAACCAAGGCCTTGAATCCACCAGAAATACAATCTATTTCTCTCAGTTGGGAAATTATTTCAATTTTTGTTTTAAATACTGAACAATAAAATTATTCTCCACCAAAATTAATGTCCCTGCTTTTTACTTTACCATAAACAATGAACACAGGCCAAATGTTAGCTATTATAAGTTATTTATGAATGAACATAGCAAAATGTTGGCTTTTACAAGTTGGTTATGAATGGGGACTTTCTTAAGTAAGAGTAACTTTGCTACATGCTTGACCAACAATAAAACCAGAGGGTATTTGCATTTTCTCAATTGAGATCCCCTCTTCCCAATGATTCTAGCTTGTATAAAGTTAACATAAAACTAACCTTTATATGTACTAACGATTGTAGGGCCTGGAGAGATGACTGAGCATTTATGAGCACTGACTGCTCTTCCAGAGAACCCAAGTGCAATTCCCAGCACCCAAATGGCAACCCACAACTGTGTGTATACATCTCTAGTTCCAGAAGACCTGACATCCTCACAAAGACACACATTAGACCACAATGAATATGAAAGAAAATCAAACTTAAAAAAAATAGGTTGCACATTGGAAAACAACGTTTTTAACTCAGGGTTCCAAGTTCATGGTAGTAATCATTCCAGATCCCATGGGTTGATACAATAGGCCAAAGTAGCTGACCCATATGAAAAATGACACTTTGATTCTGAACATCTGTAACTCTTAGTGGAATCATGAAAAGGGCTTAATGACTTTCAAGACAGAAAAAACATTACCCTTTAATTGTTTTACTGGGCATGTACACATGAGACACAGAGATCAAGAGTCCCTGTCCTGTGAAGATAATGTCAATATGAAATCTCACCCATGCTGTCACTTCAAATGTTTAACAGAGCCACTGCTTCTACCCCACATTCATATCCAGTTCATGGTTCACATCGAAACCAAACTGCATTTTTTTGACAGAGGGTTCTGCTATTGTACTCTCACCCACAGTAAGTCACATCCAACAGCACCTGGACAGTACATCCTTTAAAGGAATCAGTTAATCCATTAATCTTTAGTCCTTCTGTCCAGTCTCTGAGTTGGTATGTATGGATATGATAAAATATGTGGGGGCAGTTTTTCCTTTTTTTGAGAATTGGACATAAAGAAGTTTCAATCTAAGGTACAGAAATGAACTGAAAACAGTGTAGAGAAACGACCAGGTGAATGGGAAATTAAGTACTGGTTTTCTCTTACCAGTCATAGCTGAAAATCTTTTCAGTTTTATGTTTTGTTCTCTTCTTTAAGTACCTTGACATTTTTCTGGAAAGAAGATTTTTTTTTCTCCTCTGCAAATACATCAGAAAAGAAGTTTCTCCTAAGCTGCCCATGTTATTGACCAGGCAACTAGTTACATATCCCCTTTCTCTACTCTTCCACTGAGCTCAGGGAGAATCAGAGAACATTCTGCCCACATGCGACTCAACTCTGAATCAATATTATTTTAGTAATAAAAAAGTTTTTCTTTTTGTAGAGCTTTTGAGAATCAAGATTTTTTTTCTGGTTCCAGGTCATTCAATAGTGCATTAGGGATAAACTAGGGGGAAAAAAACACATTGTGTTGCTGCGAAGCATGGTACGGTTTTCCAGCCCCAGTCTTCTTTAAAAGCACCATAGACGTGAGGTAAATGCATAACTGTAATTCTCATCATGCAGATATGATTTTATCTAATAACCCAGGCAGTCACAATCATCCCACCTGAGACAATCAGTCCCATGTCCTGGAGATGCAATTCACTGCAGGAGCATTGGCTCAAGCATGGGCAAGGTCTGGGTTCCATCCCCAGTCTTGTGGATAAATGACCTCCTCAGCAAATGATCAAGGGAACTGTGAGATTTTTATTTGCTAGATAAAGAGGAACCACTTTGACACCTTCAGTTTAGAAAGATGTTATTATTGGGCTAACATTACAGCTATAATGCAAAACAGAAGCAAAACCATAGCTTCTTACGTGTGCAGATAAAGACTCATAAAATGCTGCCCTACTATGAAGCCAATTTGCATCATTGTGGTGAATGAATAAAAGTGTGTCTACTTTATCTACACAATTCATTGAAGCTATAATAAAAATAAAATAAAAATGAATATTCTTATTCCTTAGACATCTGACTTGAAATAGAGAGCTCAATGATAGAGTGATTGCCCAAAATGCACAGGAAAAAGTGTAGGTAACTCCCACCCCTAAAAAGGAAGAAAGAAAGAAAACTTAA